GAACCGAATCAGAACGCAGATTTCGGTGCCTCATTTCAGTGCCACGTAAATGCTTGAGCAATCTATTTAAATATTTGTTCTCTGGTTCTCCGGACGTAAGGCACCGCACGTGAAAAATGATTTCCCGACTGAGAAAATTCACGAATGCAAGTCGGAAATCTCTAATAATACAAATCCAACACATCTTTGTAGTAACGCGAGTGTCCATTCCGACTTAAAAGCACAACTCGGGAAATGAGAGCATCCGAGGAGCGCGTGAATGCAGTAATTATTACACTTGCTCTGATGGCAGCAGGTAGACACCGTCAGCTAGCTAAGCTAAGCATTCTTAAATTAAAATGCCTAAAGCTAAACTTCCCTTGAATTTACATGCAATGAGAAGCGTTTCTAAACCTGTTGTCCAACAAAAGAGAACACTATAACGTTTTTACTCCACAAATGCTTCCTTTTGTGATCTGATGTGGCTTCTTGTCACAGAATGAGGCAGAAAATATGTTCTATACTGTGAAAAGCATATGGTAAACAACTATGTTGATTAGCAATGGATTATAGATATACTTAATTACGATGGAAATACCAAAGATGGCTTGAATAACACAGATAACCTATATATTGTTGCAGTGGAGTGTTTATTGTCTTTGTTTTATCATTCAAAACGTTTCTATCTTCTGTTTACTTCTGTTTTGTCTTTGTCCATATTAGGGATTTCCTGAGTTTCTTTCTGTGACGCACATGTGGAGATTCTGCGCGAGGGCGCCCTCTGGCATCCAGTATGAATGAAACAGACATTAAATGTGTTTATAGCGCTCAATAAATGGCCAATCCATCCTATTTGGGTAATTTTTTTTTAAGTATCGATTCAGGCACCGGTACCGTTTTAAAAGTATCGATTTGGCACCGGTATCGTAAAAAACCCAAACGATACCCAACCCTATCCCTGATATTCCATGACTTGGATGAAAAAATATAAAATTCCCTGACTTTCAAATGTCTGGAATAGACCTTTTAAAATTCCATGATATTCCAGAAATTCCATGGCAACCCTGGCTCACCTTCTCTCTGAAGAACCTGCCACTCTCCAGCGAGCCACGAGCGTGAACATATTAGTACCTAAAGTGTATATATTAGTACCTAAAGTGTACATATTAGTACCTAAAGTGAACATATTGGTACCTAAAGTGTACATATTAGTACTTAAAGAGTTCATATTGGTACCTAAAGTGTACATATTAGTACTTAAAGTGTACATATTAGTACTTAAAGTGTATATATTAGTACCTAAAGTGTACATATTAGTACTTAAAGTGTACTTATTAGTACTTAAAGTGTACATATTAGTACCTAAAGTGAACATATTAGTACCTAAAGTGAACATATTAGTACCTAAAGTGTACATATTAGTAATGCTATAGCCTTTGTGTATATATTTAAAGATGTGCATCTTTAAGCATGACAGTTGAAATGAAATGGTAACACTTTAAAATAAGAGTCCATTTGTAGCATTAAGATTAATGAAAGCTGTGTAAGTATTGTTCCTTGTTAGAGTGTGTTAATTTCAAAATTTTTATTATTATTATTACTACTACTACTACTAGTATGGTTCAGTACTGTTTTTGTTAATAAAGCACTATTTTAGTTTCTGTTCAGTATCAATTTTAAAACTATCGGTTAAGTAATCGGTATCGGTCAGTGTGGTCCAACCTAGCTATCGGTATCGGCAAAATCCACTATCGGTCGACCTCTAGTCATGTATTTAAATGCATTTGTAATTTGTAATGAAGTTGCAATTTAGTGCATGAAAAATATATTAACTTTAAATATAGTATCAAATAGCACACTACAGATAAAATCATAATTAAGTACTTTACATGTGCTTAAGTATGTTAGTCAACACATTAAAAAGCACAACGAAGCTTATTAAAACCCTAATGATTTAAAATGTACTTTAAAGTAAATCACAAAGAAACAGTCAAGAAAGCATCTCTCTAGAAATGCACTTAAGTGGCCTTAATATACCACTGAAATATCTGCAAGTACAGTTTTTAAAAATACACTTTTAAGATACAGTGCACACTCTTTTTCACAAAGGTAAATATCAGTATTTATGCTAGCTGGTTTTTCTATGTTTTTCATGCTAACAGTGAAGATTGGTTTGAAGCTTTTCAAGTGAAATATTGATGTGTAAATGATACAGAGTTCAGGTTTTGAACACTTACATGGACACCCTGGAGTGTTGACCGTATGATGGGCCTGATAGCCGTCTCCATTAGCACTGAACGCTAACAGTTTCACATGGTACTTCACTCTGGGGTCTGCAAAACGACATAAACCGTGTTATTACGTAAGAAAATACATGATGCACCTCATATAGTCATATACGTTTTCTGAACTGTTTATTTAAAAGGGTCTGAAATGTCTGACAGTAAGATATTAGCACTGAATGCTAACAGTTTAGCATGCTACTTCACTCAGAGGTCTGTAGAACAAAATAAATCATATCAACAACATAATAAACAACTAAAGTACCTCATTTAATTTCATAATTTGATTTATGGAAAATCACAAAAAAAAGACTCTTAAAAGAGTTAAAAGCACATGGCTAAAACGGCGGTATTAGCACTGAACGCTAACAGTTTAGCATGCTACTTCACTCAAAAGGTCTATAGATTAATATAAATCATATATAATAAAGTTTAAAAAATACGTCATATGAGATATATGTTGTATACAATCACACAAAAGGTCTTAAAGAGTTAAAAGCACATGGCTAAAACGGCAGTATTAGCACTGAATGCTAACAGTTTAGCATGCTACTTCACTCAGAGGTCTGTAGATTAATATAAATCATATCAACAACATAATAAAACAACTAAAGTACCTCATTTAATTTCATAATTTTTTTTTTGATTTATGAAAAATTACACAAAAGGTCTTAAAAAGAGCAAAAACTGAGGTATTAGCACTGAATGCTAACAGTTTAGCATGGTAATTTACTCTGGAATCTATAGGACGACATAAATCATATAAATACAAAATAAAATAAATAAAGTACCTCAAATAATCTCTTTTTTTTTCTTTTTTCTAAATTGAGCAAAACTTCACAAAATTCATCAACTAAATGGCTGACGTTAAGGAATTAACGCCGAATGCTAACAGTTTCACAAGGCGCTCTGGGGTTTGTAGAACAACATAATAATATATAATAAAATAAGAGAAGTATAATGTCATAAATTACATTAAAGTTTTGTGAAATTGTGCAAAAGGCTTAAAGAGATAAAACGACATGGTTGGCATTGCAGTATTAGCTCTAAAAGCTAACATGGTACTTCACTCCGGGGTCTAATTTTTTTAAAAACATTTTTTATAATAGGCCTAATTCATAATAAAAATGTACTTTTGACATAATAACATATTAAAGTGGCATTCGCTGTGCCCGTTTGAACAGTGGTTTATCATGTGCAGTGCATCACACAGACACTAGGTGGAGCTGTGACTGATTTAATTTATGCAAATTATGCTTTTGCTGTCTAGCGTGTAACACCAAAGTCACAGAAACACAGATTTCATTTATTTCAACAAAAAGGTCAACCACTTATGTCGCAGAATCACGTGAAAGCATGCACATGTTGATCCGACGTGTGCGTTTACACATCTTGATCAAATTCAAATTCTATGATAATTCCATAGTTTTTGTTTTAAATAGAAAGTTGAAGATCTACCGTATATGACAATCCTAATCAAATTACTCATATATTTTCTTAAAAAATGAAGTTTCAAGTAAATTACGATTTATTTCCCATTCAAATAATTGGAAATGCTCTAATAAATATTCTAAGAAAATTAAAAATAGCATCAGTTTCCCAGTAAAATATTAGAAAGATAAAACATTTATATCTACATGGAAATCCTAATCAAATTAATCACAAATATTCTTTAAAAATTAAGTTTTAAGGTAAATTAAGCTTTCTTTGTGATTTTAAAACTTAGATATTTTCTAAGAAAATTAGAAAATGTATTTATTTCCCAGTTAAAATTTAGAAATGCTATGTACATTACTCAAATGTTCTTAAAAAAAAACGTTTTAAGTGAATTAAGATATATTTCCCATTTTAAAAATGTAGATGTTTTCTGAGATAATTAGAAAATGTATTCATTTCTCACTCCAAAAAGGTAAAATGTTCTATATGAAAATCTTAATCACAATTCTTTCTTAATAAAACACTTATTCCCCCATTACAGATTATCCATTGTCTACGGAAACTAGAAAATTAATTCTGAATTAATTCTATATGGAAATTCTAGTCAAATGACTTTTAATAATTGTCTTTAAGTTTTAGAATTTATCTCCCGTCAAATATGAGTCTAACCCTGACCAATTCAAACTGGAATATGCTCTTTGGTCACTTCTGCCCAGTTCAGTCCAATCCCAGAATCCTTTGTTTGCGGTAAGTGTCCAGCTGTAGGGTGACGGGGGAGGGTCGCTCTTAAACCCAAACACAATAGACGGGCATGGAGAATGCTGGGAAAGCTGGAAGGAGACATCTGGGCCGTGACCTCTGACCCTGAGGGGAAACTGCGTGACACGTACAAAGCCGAGGTTGCGGCGGACAGGGCGACCGTGCATGAGTGTCAACAGAAGAAGGCCAATTATCGACGAACACGAACATGGGAAAGATGCTAAAAGAAACTCTGGGATACTTCCTTGTCCAGTTTTAGGTTTCCACATTAATTTCTCAACATAATAATGATTTCTCAAACACGTCGAGGCTGAGTCCTCATTTTAGATTAAAGGGCTAAAGTGGAGAGAACAAAGAAGCGGGTCTTTAGGAAGTTTTATTCGTCCACAGGCATCTTCCCTTTTCTTATCTCTAGGAAATAATGTGTTGTGTGCATGTGTGTCACTCACTGAGTCCTGTGATGGCGTGCTGGTGGTCATGTGGGGGCAGCTGGAGAAGCGAGTCCTCTGATTGGCCGTCTGGGTGAAAGGACAGCTTGTATCCCTGGAGGACGGCGTCGCTGGGAGACGGATGCCAGCGGACCGTCACTGAGGTGCAGTTCAGAGGTTCAAGCTCAAGGTTTGGCGCGGGAGGCACTGAGGGCACAAACAGACACATTAAATCAACTTCTGTACAGATTACAGAGTAAAAATACACCTGTATGTTTTCTGAGGAAAAACTGTCAGCCCGCAAAAATGACTAGTAATAGCGATGATTAAATACTTTTCAAACATTGCTAATAAAACAGCACCGCTACAAGCCCACACCATACATTTATGGCTAGAAAAAGAAGTGCATTTAAGTTATCAAATTAAATAACTTACATTAAATATTAAACTATATTCATATTAAAGCTAAATCTCATTTTCCCTGCCCAGATGACCTTGACTTCATCAGCAGAGAAAAAAAAGTTAACACATTTATACATTTTTTCTGAATAACTTGTTTATAATAACTTTTCAATTTTCTTTTTTTGTGCTATTTTTATCCCTTTTATGAATATTAGTAAACCGATTTGAATTACCATTTGTATTAAATGTACATTGTATAAATAACACTGCATAATAAATAAACTTGCCTTGTCATGCATTGACGAATCATGCACAACAACAACATACATTTATTAAGAATATTTTGAACCATACAATGTGTTTTTGGCTATTGCTACAAATATACCCCCAGCGACTTAACACTGCTTTTGTGCTCCAGGGACACATATTTGTAACAATAGCCAACAATAAAGTACATTGTATGGGTCAAAATTATTGATTTTTCTTTTATGCCAAAAATCATTAGGATATTAAGTAAAGATCATGTTCCATGAAGATATTTTGTAAATTCCCTACCTTAAATATATCAAAACGTAATGTTTGATTAGTAATATGCATTGCTAAGAACTTCATTTGAACAACTTTAAAGATGATTTTCTCAATATTTCGATTTTTTTGCTCCCTCAGATTCCAGATTTTCAAATAGTTGTATCTCGGCCAAATATTGTCCAATCCTAACAAACCATACATCAATGGAAAGCTTAGTTATTCGACTTTCAGATGGTGTATAAATCTCAATTTAAAAAAAAATTACCCTTATGACTGGTTTTGTGGTCCATGGTCACATATGGTTATCATTACAGTTATCACTATAGTTATGGTTATTGGTGCAAATATAGTTATTGTTCTTCGTGTGAATGGCAAAATAGTTAGTATCGTTAATGTTATCGTTATGACTCAAATTGACCCTTATGACTGGTTTTGTGGTCCAGGGTCACATATGGTTCTTCTATGGCATCGCTGCAAAAACCTTCCATCTTTTTGAGGGTGTAGTATCACAAAACAAATGGTTATGAGCCAAATTAAGGTAGATTGTGCTCTCAGCCTCTCACCTGTGGCGCTGGATGTTTTGGGCGTGCGATGGGAGTTCCAGGCGGACGGTTGGCTCCAGCCCACTCGGGTTGACGCGGACATTCGGATCAAATAGATGGTGTCGGGCTGCAGACCCTGCAGAAGGTACTGGGTGCAGTTCTCACTCGGGACGGGCAGCTCGACAGAGATTACCTGCTCGTCCGTGGCCGTACGGTAGGACAGACGGTACGCAGAAACACGTCCACGGCTGAGTTTGGGAGGAAGCGGCTGCCAGGACACCAGGATGTCGGTGGGACTGCGACTCGTTAGGCTCAACTCAGGCGTACGGAGGGGCACTAGGGATCAAAAAACACATTTTACGGGAAAGTCTTCTGGGAAATGGAACTTTTACTATAAAGTTTATTGTAGCTATATGGGTGCTCAGTTTTTCTTGTCCTTTAACACATTTGGCCAAAATCTCATGATATTAAAGATGCACTGATGCAATGCACAGGATATTTAAAATGAACAGAAATGCATTGGCTACAACTAGAGGGCAAATGTTTCTTCTCCGCTCTTCAAACACACAAAAACATTAAGCTTTATAGACAGTGTTTCTTGAGTAAAGAAAACACTGTACTCTTACATTGCAAAGAAATAGACATCTGTCTTCAAACTGCGCATCGCTGCATTGAATGGAGGCAGGGTGGAGTTATGAGGAGCTGACTGACAATTTGATGATCCAATGGCGTTACAAGGTTTAGTCACAAGCTCTTTTGAATGCTTTTCATTGGTTAAATATTTGTAAAATCCACAAACAGACATAACGATGACCAATAGCACTGATTTAAAATCATAATAACGAAATATAATAGAGATAGGAAGTTTTTGATCATTTTCGAGGCACAGTGGTTGGGAAACACTGGTCTAAAAGTCCACAGACTCACCATCCTCCAGCGTGTGCTGCGTGACCTGCTCCGACATGCGACTGGCGCCCATCGGCATGTAGGCAACGATATAAAACGTGTAGTTTCGCGCTGGTTCCAGATCGTCCACAATGTGGTTGGTCGTGTCATTCCCGATCACGGCCTGATACTCTTCGTTATTTAGTCCTGCGAGTATAGACTCTATAATCAGTGCCGTTTCTAATTCAGTCAATTAGAATTCTCCACAATACTGGAGACAATTGAGATCTCACACTTTGATTGGTATCAAGTTAGATTACAGGTGCAGATTAGATTTGAGTTTTACACAACCATGTAGTTTTGAACACTCTTTAACCACAATAGCAATGTTTCCTGAGAACAGAATCAGACCAAAAGTTGAAGTGTATCCTCTGTTTGCTTTAAGCCATTTTCTCATGTCTCTTTCTAATGACTCCGTTAATATAGAACAGAGACACAATCCTGCTAAAATTCCCTTCATTCCTGCTCTGAGGGCTTCCTAACACAAACCCAATGAATTATATCAAAAACCAAGTGAAGGCAGGTGAGTGTGAGCTTGAAGGGGTGGAGTTTAAGGAGGGGCTTGGTCGTATGCATTAGTTGATGATTGGATGTTAAGATGTGGGCGTGGCACTCAAAAGTGGATGTGGGTGAGTGTAAGCTTGAAGAGGCGGAGCTTAAGGTGGGGCTTGGTTGTATGCATTAGTTGATGATTGGATGTTATGATGTTGGCGTGGCACTCAAAAGTGGATGTGGGTGAGTGTGAGCTTGAAGGGGCGGAGTTTAAGGTGGGGCTTGGTTGTATGTATTAGTTGATGATTGGATGTTATGATGTTGGCGTGGCACTCAAAAGTGGATGTGGGTGAGTGTGAGCTTGAAGAGGTGGAGCTTAAGGTGGGGCTTGGTTGTATGCATTAGTCGATGATCTCAGATTCCAGATTTTCAAATAGTTGTATCTCGACCAAATATTGTTCTATCCTAACAAACCATACATCAATGGAAAGCTCATTTATTTCAGCATTTGATGCATAAATCTCAATTTTGTAAAATTGACACTTAAGACTGGTTTTGTGCTCCAGGGTCACATATATGATTAGACACTTAACATTTTCTGAAAATCGTGCTTAAATGGAGTTAATGAGGTTTTTGACGAGCGAATGACAGATCCGTGTTTTGTCCATAATTAGAATGGCTGCATCTGAGGCAATACATTAATCGCATTACGTTTTCATCAATATGCAGGCTATAAAGTTTATTGTAGCTATATGGGTGCTCAGTTTTTCTTGTCCTTTAACACATTTGGCCAAAATCTCATGATATTAAAGATGCACTGATGCAATGCACAGGATATTTAAAATGAACAGAAATGCATTGGCTACAACTAGAGGGCAAATGTTTCTTCTCCGCTCTTCAAACACACAAAAACATTAAGCTTTATAGACAGTGTTTCTTGAGTAAAGAAAACACTGTACTCTTACATTGCAAAGAAATAGACATCTGTCTTCAAACTGCGCATCGCTGCATTGAATGGAGGCAGGGTGGAGTTATGAGGAGCTGACTGACAATTTGATGATCCAATGGCGTTACAAGGTTTAGTCACAAGCTCTTTTGAATGCTTTTCATTGGTTAAATATTTGTAAAATCCACAAACAGACATAACGATGACCAATAGCACTGATTTAAAATCATAATAACGAAATATAATAGAGATAGGAAGTTTTTGATCATTTTCGAGGCACAGTGGTTGGGAAACACTGGTCTAAAAGTCCACAGACTCACCATCCTCCAGCGTGTGCTGCGTGACCTGCTCCGACATGCGACTGGCGCCCATCGGCATGTAGGCAACGATATAAAACGTGTAGTTTCGCGCTGGTTCCAGATCGTCCACAATGTGGTTGGTCGTGTCATTCCCGATCACGGCGTGATACTCTTCGTTATTTAGTCCTGCGAGTATAGACTCTATAATCTTCTAATTCTCTAATTCAGTCAATTAGAATTCTCCACAATACTGGAGACAATTGAGATCTCACACTTTGATTGGTATCATACAGGTGCACAGGTGCAGATTAGATTTGAGTTTTACACAACCATGTAGTTCTGAACACTCTTTAACCACAATAGCAATGTTTCCTGAGAACAGAATCAGACCAAAAGTTGAAGTGTATCCTCTGTTTGCTTTAAGCCATTTTCTCATGTCTCTTTCTAATGACTCCGTTAATATAGAACAGAGACACAATCCTGCTAAAATTCCCTTCATTCCTGCTCTGAGGGCTTCCTAACACAAACCCAATGAATTATATCAAAAACCAAGTGAAGGCAGGTGAGTGTGAGCTTGAAGGGGTGGAGTTTAAGGAGGGGCTTGGTCGTATGCATTAGTTGATGATTGGATGTTAAGATGTGGGCGTGGCACTCAAAAGTGGATGTGGGTGAGTGTAAGCTTGAAGAGGCGGAGCTTAAGGTGGGGCTTGGTTGTATGCATTAGTTGATGATTGGATGTTATGATGTTGGCGTGGCACTCAAAAGTGGATGTGGGTGAGTGTGAGCTTGAAGAGGTGGAGCTTAAGGTGGGGCTTGGTTGTATGCATTAGTTGATGATTGGATGTTATGATGTTGGCGTGGCACTCAAAAGTGGATGTGGGTGAGTATGAGCTTGAAGGGGCGGAGTTTAAGGTGGGGCTTGGTTGTATGCATTAGTTGATGATTGGATGTTAAGATGTGGGCGTGGCACTCAAAAGTGGATGTGGGTTTCCCTGCGTTCCATTCGGAAGGGCTCATCCCTATGCCCTAATCCCTTCAAAGGGTTTACCCTCCGGAGGGAGAGCTTTGAAGGGTTGAGAGACGGGACGTGGACACAACCGAGCCTTGAGAGTTCTCCGCTTGGCACTGGTAAAAGGCGTCGTCTTCCGGAATAATCTGGGTTATCACCAGTTTACTGGCACACAATGAAGGCACACGTGTCAGTATTATACAGATTATGACGTTTGGTAGAGGTTTACTGGAGGTATTTGTCTGTACGTACTTGTTGTACATCTTGGTGCGTCCATTGGAGTGGATCACCTGACCATTCTTAAACCAGGTGATTCGGGGAACAGGTGTCCCTTCGGCCTGACAGCTAAAACGGGCCGTACCAGCTCTGGGTCGGGTCTGACTCTCTGGTTTCTCTACTAGAGTCGGAGGAACTGCAAAAAATGAGTGAAAATGCAGTGAGAACAAAGATTTCAGGACTGTCCAAGAACAATAACTATAACAATACCTATAAATACAAAGAAAAGATGTCGTTGGGATCACTTTCAAAACATTGATGGCCAATCAGAATCCGTCTGACTTGCTCAAGCAGCAAACGACAGAACTGCAGCACGTGCTTACAATAAAAAGAAGGTTATTGTGAGTTGGTGTGGAAGCTAATATGTGACCCTGGAGCACAAAACCAGTCATAAGTAGCACGGGTATATTTGTAGCAACAGCCAAAAATACATTGTATGGGTCAAAATTATAAATTTTTCTTTTATGCCAAAAATCATCAGGATATTCAGTAAAGATCATGTTCCATGAAGATATTTTGTAAATTTCCTACCGTAAATATATCAAAACTTAATGTTTGATTAGTAATATGCATTGCTAAGAACTTCATTTGGACAACTTTAAAGATGATTTTCTCAATATTTAGATTTTTTTGCACCCTCAGATTCCAGATTTTCAAATAGTTGTATCTCGGCCAAATATTGTGCTATCCTAACAAACCATACATCAATGGAAAACGTATTTATTCACCTTTCATATGATGTATAAATCTCCATTTTAAAAAATTGACCATTATGACTGGTTTTGTGGTCCATGGTCACATATGGTTATCATTATAGTTATCACTATAGTTATGGTTATTGGTGCAAATATAGTTATTGTTCTTTGTGTGAATGGCAAAATATTTAGTATCGTTAATGTTATCGTTCTTGGTGTGAACACTAATATAGTTATTGCTCTTGGTGTGAACACTAATATAGTTATTGCTCTTGGTGTGAACGCTAATATAGTTATTGGTAAAGTTATCATTCTTGATGTGAAAGCTAGTATAGTTATCGTAAATTTATTGCTGTTGATGTGAATGCTAATATAGTTATCGTTAATGTTATTGATCTTATTTGATAATATAGATATCGGTAAAGTTATCATTCTTAATGTGAAAGCTAGTATAGTTATCGTAAATTTATTGTTGTTGATGTGAATGCTAATATAGTTATCGTTAATGTTATTGATCTTATTTGATAATATAGATATCAGTAAAGTTATCGTTCTTAATGTGAACGCTAATATAGTTATCGGTAAAGTTATCATTCTTGATGTGAACGTTAGTAAAGTTATTGTTATTGTTCTTAATCGCTAATATAGATATCGTAAAGGTATCGTTCTTAATGTGAACCCTAATATATTTATCGGTAAAGTTATCTTTCTTGATGTGAACGTTAGTAAAGTTATCGTTATTGTTCTTAATCGCTAAATATAGATATCGTAAAGTTATCGTTCTTAATGTGAATGCTAATATAGTTATTGACAGTTAACATTCTTGATGTAAACACTAATATAGTTATTGCTAATGTTACTATTCTTAATGTGAACGATAATATAGTTATCTGTAAAGTTATCTATCTTTGTGCACTAGCGGAAGCACCTTTATATGCACTTTATATATATATATATATATCAGCCAGTGGCAGCGCGAGAAGCGAGCAGCAGAGAAAATGGTACTCCTCTCAGAAAACATACAAATAAAGATAATTTTAGATGTTTAATTACTATTTGGAGCATTGGGATCGCTAGACGAGGGCTTAAAGGGGTAATCGGATGTGCATTATCCAGAGTTTGATATGATTCTTTAGGGTCTTACTGAAAAGTCTATAACATACTTTGGTTCAAATGTCTCAATGGTAGTGTAAAACTACACCGTTTTTACCCTGTCAGAAACAGCTCTGTTTACAGCAAGCCGTTTTAGTGCATGTTCCTTTAAATGTTAATGAGCTCTGCTGACCCCGCCCCTCTCTTCCGAGCCGCTCTCTGAGAAACTGTAAACTTTAGCTGTATTTATCGTGAAACTTGCTAACTAGCACATTATTAGGAAAGGCGATTTGCAAAGATTCATAAAAAAACCTACCATACTCACTTCTTCTGTAGATGATGCTGTATCACTAATGATTCGCACGAACATAAATGCATTTAGGCAGATCGGGATCTGCGCATTCTCTTCAGAAACAAACATAATCCACTGCGTCTTCAGCGGCTCAGATGTCGGGAGTAAATGACGACTGCTTTGTTCATTATTGCATCCAACAACAGAACACCTCAATCGCTTAGGAGTCATTCTTGTGTACATCTGCTCCGGCGGTGAAACTATGGCGGACTGATGACAGTCACTCAGGGCGGAGCTGTGATAAAACCAAAGACTGACGCCACTGTCTATCAACAATTGTGGGAGGGGCCTGTGCAGAACTACGTCATTCTGCCAAGAATCTGTGAACGGCTCGATATGAGAAAGGGGTTTGGATTTATCGAGATTTTAAAAAAAGCACTGGGTGGATTTGTATCATTATAGGGTGGTTGTGTACACACACTGCCAATAACACATTTCAGTTCAAACTGCATGTAAAAGTGAATTTTGCATCCGATGAACCCTTTAATGAACAAATTTTAGTGAAATCCTCAAATTCGACCAAAACCGACATTTTTCACTTTTTTTGTCTGTACCGTAGCTCAAAATTAGACCGTGCGCATTCCGACTCGTTTTGCCAGCACGAGTCACAAATAGTTATTGTTATTGGTGTGAATGTTAACATAGTTATCTTTTTTGGTGTAAAGAGCCCTTCAGAAGTGTTTATGATGCATCCGTTCCAACAGACATCTCTTACCGAGTACGGCGAGGTTTCCGGGCGCTATGCTGTAGTTGCGTGTTCCCGGTGTCGTCGCCCGGCACAGGTACGTGCCGCTGTGATGAGCTTTAACGACAGAGATGATCAGGTTCCCGTTTCCCAGCACTCTGGCTCCGGACACGTCTATGGGTTTAGAGTCGGCCCGGCTCCAGGACACAAGCGGCCGAGGGTTTCCCTCCGCCAAACACTCCAGAACCACAGACTGACGCAGCCCGGCGCTGATGTTCTGCGGTCCTGCTATGATGTGTGGTTTCATGAGAGGCCTCGGACCCGATGCTGGACAGAGAACAGAGAAGATTCAGTGGCAAGCTACTGCTTCCTTTATTCCAGAATTGGATCTGATAAGGATCACCGTTCATCCTCACACAAACACAGACCTGGGATGATGGTCAGCTCGGCCTCTCGGCTTCTGACTCGACTGGCCATGTTTGTTGCTAAGCAGCGATAATTCCCAGCATCCCTCATTGTCACATCGTGGATCTGCAGCACTCCGTTTGGCAAAACAGTGATTCTGAAATAAGCAGAAGTACATTTAGAGTTAAACACATTACTTGGTAACTCAAACTGAGGGCTTTCGGCATGCCATTTATTTAGCATATTTTGGATTTTTATTTGCACACCTGTCTGAATCCAGAGGTAGAGATCTTTGGTTGAGTTCCCAGCTGATAACCGCTGATCCACTGACAGCACAGGAGAATCTGGCCACAGAGCCCAGCGTGACTTCAGCAGGGACCGGGTGGGTAATGAACAACAGCACATCTGTGAAAGTCAATGGAAGAGAGAGAAATCATTAACAAAGTTTTGCATATCCAAAATCAACATTGCATCCTTTTATATGTCCATAATGTGACATTTCTGAGTGAAAAAAAGAGATATACATGATTCACAACAGGGTCATTATAGTTCACAAAAAAAAAAAATGAATAAAAAAAATACATTTTAACTGAAAAAAAAAGAAGCGTATACTTATTCTATTTCAGCTATTTGCAAAAGAAACATTTCTAATTTTCATTTAGTTTAACTTGATGTATTAAAATGAGTAAAACTAAAACTTAAATAAAATTAATAAAAACTATATAGACACGTTTAAAGAAAAAACAACATTTAAATGACAAAAACACTCAACAAAGTTACTAAAACTTTAACAGAAATGAAAATGAAAACAGAAAATATAAAAATAAAAACAAATTCAAAATATGAATAAAATCTATAAAAGTATCTCGTTGATACTAAAATAAACCATTAAAAAATAAACTAAAATGAAACAATATATTAATTTTTTTAACTTATTTTACTTCAGCTAGTCGTCATTTTCATTTAGTTTAACTTGATGTATAAATAAAACTAAAAATAAAATATGTATTTTTAAACTATATAAAAATAAAAATTTAAATGAAAACAGAAAAAATCTAGTAAAAAAAATGTGTATCTCAATGATACTAAAATAACACTGGTCCACAAGCATGTATAAACCAAATAGAGTCCATGTAGAATTTAATATAGATCTAATTTTGTATTATATTAATTGTTTATTAAGAGACCAGCAGTTTTTCGGACCAACGTCAACAGCAAACAGTGAAAGTTCTTGGCTTTCCTTCAAAATCAATATAAATCCCTTTAAAACTAATCAGTTTACAGACACAGACGAATCCGCCATAATCAATAATGAGGTCTGAAAGATAAGAGTAAACGTAAACCAATAACACAAGACGATCTGACCGTCCTGCCTTACTTGCTCTATCAGTTTCCTACATATTAAACACACATTTAAATGCATTTCCAGCAGCCAGCGAGATGCTGTCGCCAATAAACTTGAGCATGAAATCAGACATGAAATGATTTCCCATTTAGCTGGTGTGTTTATATGAAGCTTACAGCATAGAGCACTCAGACGGATCTTAACTGTGATTGGTTGTCTGTTAAGGGCCAGAGTGCACAGTAGCCAATAATAAACAGCTGCTCTAATCAATGAATCAATGGACCAATGACAGTGAATAACGACTTTTTATAGATCAGTGAGAATCAATGGCACTCATCTGAAACGAGTGTGTCAATATGCATGCTACTGTGGGCAACGAACAGGCTCATAATGCAGCTTGCAAAGTGTGAAATGAGGTTTGAAACAATACACAGGTGATGTAACAATCACACGCCTGCTTCTTCACCATTTCCACAAGCAGCACTAGGACAACAGCAGGATTTTTCCACATTTTTAAAAACAATAAGATAAAGACTCAGCGGTTCGAGGGACACCAGCCCCTAATTTTACCCACAAGCCACTGGGTTTCCTCCCCCTCGTGTTCCTGCTGAGTCCAGCCAGAATGCTCTAAAGGCAATCAATGAAAGTTCATCTGCTGGTAGAATCCTGCACGTCGCTCGTGTTCCATGAAGACGAAGGGAATTAAAAAGCTCCTTTATTTACATGTGAGGATTAATTACCACTAACTGTCAATCAAATAACACGCTGTTATTTAGTGTTCAAACAGTTCAAAATGACCTTTACTTACTCGTGAACAATCATTTATTCTGCACAGAAAATACTAAACAAAACAGAACAAAAACACAGAAAAATCCTAAAAGATAAATGATAATCAAATAATGTGCTGGCATGGTTCAAAATGACCTTACTCATGAACAAATTAAACATTTATTCTGCACAGAAAAACACACAAAAAAAAATAATCCTAAAAAAAATAAATAAAAAAAATACAAATAAATTCTTCCTTTATAGTGACATAAATAAAAATTACTTTTACTTACTCGTGAACAAATTAAACATTTATTTTGCAAAAATTAAATACAAATAAATCAAATTAATAACCATTAACTGTTAAAACAAATAACGTGCTGTTCTCCCTTTATAGTGACACAATTTAAAATAACCAAATTAAACATTTACTCTCAACAGAAAAATAGAAAAAGAGGAAAAATCCTAAGAAAATATTTAAAAAAAATAAAATATTAAAATGAATTGTTTTCCCTTTATAGTGGCATGGTTCAAAATTACCTTTACTTACTCATGAACAAACATTTATTTTGCACACAAAAATACACAAAAAAGGAACAATCTGAAAAAAAATTTAATAAACAAATAAATGACAGGAAAAGTCAATTATTATTATAAAGTCAATTAAGTTTAATTTTAATTAATTAAAAATTACCGCTAACCGACGATCTGCTGTTCTCTCATGGTAAATAAAATATATTTATATATATATATATATATTTTATTTTTTGTCATTTTCCAGAACAAATATCTAAACATCCTTAAATCAAAAATACAAGCAAAATGACTTAAGATATTAAGTCATGTTTTCTGAAAATAAGATTTATTTCTGACCCCACTGATAGTTGCTCTTCTTTAAAAAAAATTGATAAAGACTTTTTACCTTTCAAGTTAAGATATTTGTACTGGAAGATAAGACAAATATAGAAAATCATTTGTGCAGTGTATTACTTTGGTCACTTGATTACACACACCTTCAGTAGTTTTGTTTTTAAAGTAATAATGAGTGTTTTTTAAAAGATCATATCTTCAGACGTAAAGCTAAACTGGTTACACAGCTGCTGTTGTTCAGAGAATGAAAGTGCAGATATCTGATAGCAGTATGTGGTGAAAGCCTTGAAATCAACACACAAAAGTATTGGAAAGGGAAACATACCAAACCCTCAGTATTAAATCAGGCCTCTTTAGTATGTGTGTGTGTGTGTGTGTGTGAAAGAGAGAGTGTGTGTGTGTGTGTGTGTGAGCGAGAGAGAGTGTGTGTGTGTGTGAGAGAGAGAAAGTGTGTGTGTGTGTGTGTGTGTGAAAGAGAGAGTGTGTGTGTGTGTGTGTGTGAGCGAGAGAGAGTGTGTGTGTGTGTGAGAGAGAGAAAGTGTGTGTGTGTGTGTGTGTGTGAAAGAGAGAGTGTGTGTGTGTGTGTGTGTGAGCGAGAGAGAGTGTGTGTGTGTGTGAGAGAGAGAAAGTGTGTGTGTGTGTGTGTGTGTGAAAGAGAGAGTGTGTGTGTGTGTGTGTGTGAGCGAGAGAGAGTGTGTGTGTGTGTGAGAGAGAGAAAGTGTGTGTGTGTGTGTGTGTGTGAAAGAGAGAGTGTGTGTGTGTGTGTGTGTGAGCGAGAGAGAGTGTGTGTGTGTGTGAGAGAGAGAAAGTGTGTGTGTGTGTGTGTGTGTGAAAGAGAGAGTGTGTGTGTGTGTGTGTGTGAGCGAGAGAGAGTGTGTGTGTGTGTGAGAGAGAGAAAGTGTGTGTGTGTGTGTGTGTGTGAAAGAGAGAGTGTGTGTGTGTGTGTGTGTGAGCGAGAGAGAGTGTGTGTGTGTGTGAGAGAGAGAAAGTGTGTGTGTGTGTGTGTGTGTGAAAGAGAGAGTGTGTGTGTGTGTGTGTGTGAGCGAGAGAGAGTGTGTGTGTGTGTGAGAGAGAGAAAGTGTGTGTGTGTGTGTGTGTGTGAAAGAGAGAGTGTGTGTGTGTGTGTGTGTGAGCGAGAGAGAGTGTGTGTGTGTGTGAGAGAGAGAAAGTGTGTGTGTGTGTGTGTGTGTGAAAGAGAGAGTGTGTGTGTGTGTGTGTGTGAGCGAGAGAGAGTGTGTGTGTGTGTGAGAGAGAGAAAGTGTGTGTGTGTGTGTGTGTGTGAAAGAGAGAGTGTGTGTGTGTGTGTGTGTGAGCGAGAGAGAGTGTGTGTGTGTGTGAGAGAGAGAAAGTGTGTGTGTGTGTGTGTGTGTGAAAGAGAGAGTGTGTGTGTGTGTGTGTGTGAGCGAGAGAGAGTGTGTGTGTGTGTGAGAGAGAGAAAGTGTGTGTGTGTGTGTGTGTGTGAAAGAGAGAGTGTGTGTGTGTGTGTGTGTGAGCGAGAGAGAGTGTGTGTGTGTGTGAGAGAGAGAAAGTGTGTGTGTGTGTGTGTGTGTGAAAGAGAGAGTGTGTGTGTGTGTGTGTGTGAGCGAGAGAGAGTGTGTGTGTGTGTGAGAGAGAGAAAGTGTGTGTGTGTGTGTCTGGTCAGCTGGGTTGTAAAGTCCAGATCAATGCAGGTCAAACAGCACAAAGGTTTCCTTCCAAAGGTCAGAGGTCAGTCAAGTCCGTCTGTCCGAGACTCTGATTAAATGTGTTTAGGATGCAAACAGCCAGTGATTTTATGCCATTTATACAAGGATTCTAATAATGCTGTTAAAATACCAACAAAATAGTTCATTTCCAGCCCTAGAAAGACAAATCTAACATTCAACTTTGAGAAGAATGAGTTCGATACCATTTTTAGTGTGAAATGAAGAATATAGACAATATATGGAACTATATGGGTGAATATTAATCTGTCAATAAATTATATTTCATCCAAATGTTTATTAAAATGTTTATTTTTTTTGCATTTAACATCATTTGATTATTAAGTATGATTATAAAGTATATAAATGCATTACGATAGCAAGAATTTAGTGCGTAATGTGTATAATTTGTATTAAAATAGTATCACAAGCCTTGTTTTCTTTAAGCAAAACATAGTTTTTCAATTCAAATGTGCGTTGTGCATGTTTTCATTACATTTACATATATTAGACTACATTACGTTTCATATTAGTATCATTGAGATACTATTATAGTTTTTATTAATATTTCGAATATTTAAATTTTTTCTATTTGCATTTTAATTTGTATTTTTAATGTCTATGTAGTTTTATTTATTTAATTGATTTTAGTACATCACATTAAGCCAAATGAAATGTTGCCTTGGCAACTAGCTGAAATAAAATGTTTTTTTTTCATTTAAGGTTTATTTTATGTCAATCAAATTTTGTGGTTTTGGTTTTGGTTAACTATAATAACCCTGATTGTATTTATATGCAACTTAGAGTTTTTCTTGGCATGCGCTTTGATTTGTTATTTTCATAAATCACGTCTGACTTTCAACTTGTATTTCACTTGAACCCGATCTTAAATAAATGCATTATTTCATCCGCGAGAGAGAGAAACCACAGACAAAAACCAAGATCTCACATCCAACTACCAACAAAAGCAAAATGACCAAGCTGTTCTTTTTCAACTGTTGTTCAACTTGAGCTCTCATCTCAACCCCCTCAGACTAAACAGCCGGCTGCTGCTCTATTGACCAACATTAGTTCCAGGCCAGAATAAAGCCTGTCCCACAACCCCTGTGACCTCTGACCTCTGACCTCTGACCTCTCCCATCGGCCTCTGGACAGACGGCCAGTGAGGCGAACCCTTAACCCTTCACATGCTGGCTCACGAAGGGCATCTTGGCTATACAGCTGCTTATTTTCTTTAGTAGACTTTGCAGAATTATAAAGCGGACACATGATTAGCAATGAAAATGATTGGTTCTTTTAACAAATAACTCAAGGTTGACCAAAATGATTATTATCATTAGTTTCCCACAGCTAATGCAAATGACAGTATCTAGAGAGCAGATATTTTATTTTATTTGAACAGTTACTGGTTATTTTATTTTATTAGTTAGTGGTTTATGCTTGTAATAATAACGATCATTTCAAAATAATAATGCCTGATTAATTGCATTGGCTGATATATTAGACCATCTAATAATCTAATATTATATTATATTATATTATGTTATGTTATGCTATATATTATTACCAGGTGTTGCTGATCAATTGAAATTCAATTTAATTTTTATATAATAATACCTGATTAATTGCATTGCCAAATAGTGCTATAACTTTAAAAAAAAAAATTTTTTTATTAATATTCTGAATCCATTTTTATTTTTGTATTTTCTGTTTTCACTTAAATTTTTACTTGCATTAATTTAATTTAATTTTAGTTAGTTAAGTTTGAGTAATTTTGTTGGGTTTTTGACATTTAAAAAAAAAAGTATGTCTATATAGTTTTTATTCATTTTTATTTTAGATTTAGTGTTAGTTATTTTAGTACACCAAGTTAAACTAAATAAAAAATTAGAAATGCTGCCCTGGCAACTAGCTGAAATAAAATTAGTTTTTGATATTTTATCAAAAAATTTTATATTTTCATTTCCACTTAACAAAAAGCTTACCGTCAACCGTACTGTAACTTTTATACTGTCAGCGGTATTGTGAGGGAACAGAAGTCCTGGTTTATAACACGACCAAAGCAGAAAGTTAGCAAATCGACTTTTTTTTTTTATATATTTTTTTATTATTAAAAAAATTTTTTTTTAATGGTTTTAGTTTTAGTTAACTATAATAATGGCCGATCTATTAGTCTATCGCTACAAACAGCCCATAATAACTCAACCCCAAACCCTACATCACCATCGATATCTTCCACATCAGAAGCTTCTCTGATCTAGGAGCGTATGGAGCAGCATTCAGCTGTGCTTGAACGGCTCTGGTCTCTTTGTGAAGGTCAGGCCTGAGCCAGTTCAATAGGCACAGCTGTTTCTCTGTCCACAGGTTCATGGCTGAACAAACGTCCCACAGCAGAGCCTTTTCTGCCCCCATCAGAGGGCAGCCGGGGCCACGCGGGACAAAAGACGCCAGCCAATAGCCTTTAACAGATTCCTGCGAGTAACTGACCAGGAAACAATCGCATTGCCCATGATGCAGATTGCATAAAGGAGCATCAAATCTGCTCTTTTGCTGAAGATTATTCAATATTCTACCCCTATAAGGTCTGACATACATTGAAAGAAGCATGACATAACAATAGTTAAATCATCAATGCAATTCATTTCTAATTCAAAGTTTAACACGTATATGGCCTATATTGAATATTTCTATGTTGAGTTTGGGAGATAAACCAGCAGTAGGATTTAAAAAGGTAAATGTTTCATTTGATGTCATTTTATAATGAGTTATTTTTTAATATGAAAATCTGCTTGTGCCTGAGTCAGAGCACATCCTGAGTCCTTAAGAAAATACTTTTTAATATAAGGCATTAAAACGTTCTATTATAGCCGTCTAGTGACAGCAACATAATACAACTATAGTTAAATCACTCGTATTCAATTCAGATCTTTACATGTGTACGGCTATGCAATTCATTTCTAATTCAAAGTTTAACACGTATATGGCCTATATTGAATATTTCTATGTTGAGTTTGGGAGATAAACCAGCAGTAGGATTTAAAAAGGTAAATGTTTCATTTGATGTCATTTTATAATGAGTTATTTTTTAATATGAAAATCTGCTTGTGCCTGAGTCAGAGCACATCCTGAGTCCTTAAGAAAATACTTTTTAATATAAGGCATTAAAACGTTCTATTATAGCCGTCACAGCTAGTGACAGCAACATAATACAACTATAGTTAAATCACTCGTATTCAATTCAGATCTTTACATGTGTACGGCCCAGACTGAACACGTGGCTTTTTTATACATTTTCTACATCGAGAAATCAGCAGAATTTGGGATTTAAACATGGTTAAATATGACTTTTTGAGCAAGTTAATGCTATTCTGCTAGTCTTTCTACTTCAAAATTTCACATTTAGTTCAATGTTACTTGCCGGTTCTGTGTAGTTTGTGAAATTTACCAGCAATTTCTGAGTGAAAATTAAGCTTATGTTAAGATTGTGACGTTATTTGATCATTAACTATAATTATAAAATGCATTAATGAATAAAAATAATAATTCAAGTTAATAATAATCATTCATTTCTACTTCAAAATTTCATCTTTAATTCTGTTATGTTCACTGTAAACCACGGCTTCACGGGGCTTATTGCTTTTATAAAACGGTTATTCCATATACATAGCAAGGCTTCACAAAATAAAACAGAGCAAATGAAGTGTAATGATATTAATAAAAACAGTATTCTTCCACCAAACAATGTAGCTCCTCAGAAACAGTTGTGGTTGCAACAAAGTGGTTGACGAGCAACACACAGACGTAAACAAAGGTGTATGTTTGTAGAGTAATTTACTAGAGCCCGACCGATATATCGTTTTGCCGATATTATCGGCCGATATTATCGGCCGATATGAGCCTGTTGCCGATATATCGGTATCGGCAAATATACCACCGATATGACTTTTTTTTTACAGAACATATAACGCAAATAAAATGCTTGAAATGGTGTAATTACTTAGTTTGTCCGCGCTCCATTGTTTGCTACTGGCGACCTGGATGAAACGCTTTTGAAGTTTAAGTCTATGGAAAACCATTGAAACTTTGAACGGCCATATCTCCGTAACGGTGGATCCCTTCAGCTCGAACGCGAATCGAGTGTACGTCTCGAGGCCCTCTTTCGAATGAGACCACCCCCGCGTCGATAGCCCCCGGGGTTTGGGAGTTACGGGTGGTTGAATTCGCAGTCCGGCGCCGACCGATCAAGCGATCCCGGGGGGCTACCGACGCGTGGAGGGCGGCGTTCGCGAGATAGTGACACCAGTCAACACTTTCCCTTCAGTAAGGAGGTCTCTTGTTCAGGCAGCATTCACGCATTGTCTTATTTGACCGCAAGTGCCCCGCGAAGTGGACTTCACATGATATTCCGCCATGATTCCAGTTCCAAGGGAACGTACACGTTACATTCAAAGGGCATTCAAGTGCACGAGACGTGAGTTTATATTGTATTTTTTACAGAGGTATATTATGTCACAACACTTCTCAAGTAAGTTTCGTCTGTGTGTGAAGACAGTAGCGCAAATCCGTGAATGAATGTTTCGAAGTGAAATAAACTTTAATTCAATTCAATTCCATTCAACTTTATTCCGTTAAAGTTGAATAAACTTCAGCTTTACTGTTCAGTGCACTGATGTCAGACTCATTTTGGATAATAAAGTTTATTGTTAAATTGTTAAATGCCCTGCCTCCATTACGAATCTCTGTCACGTCATTATAAGTGTTTGATCACCACATTTGAGTGATCATTGCATAAAATGTGTTTATGTATATATATTCTGTTTATGTATATACTGTATTCTATATATAGTACCAGTGAAATGTTTGAACACACGAATGGGAAAGTGTTCAAACTTTTGACTGGTACTGTACTCTAATATACACAAAGAATATCGGCCGATATATCGATATCGGCCTTTTTTTTACTCCCTAATATCGGTATCTGCCCCAAAAAAACCCATATCGGTCGGCTCTATAATTTATAACAGCTTTGAATGTGGCTCAGCCAATCAGAATCAAGGACAGGAACACTCCGTTTTATAAAATGCATTAATACACTTAGAATTTGGTGTACAACATATTATTTTTTTATTCAAATAATGTCACAACGCAAAACTAGGCCTCATGTTCTTGAAACTAAATATAATTTCTGAATTTTTTCTTTTGGTTTTGGGCTTGTTGTGCGTGTGTTTGTCAGTATACGGCCTGTTTTCAGCATTTAAAAACAGAAGCAGAGTTTTCCCGCAGTGGTCACATCCATACGTACTTGAGATGGTGAGACGGGATCTTTGGCTCAGGACGGCTCCGTATCTGTTCTGTGCGAGACACTGGTAGAAGCCCTCGTCTGATTGCGCTGAGCTGGAGATGCAGAGCGAGCCGTTGGACAAGACACGCAATCGGCCGCTCTCGTGAAGCTGGAGGCCGTTCTTCCTCCATCGCACGCCGACGGGAGACTCGCCCTGAGCCTGACAGTCCAAAATAACTCGCTCACCGAGAGACGCCGCCACGTCCTTGGGCTCGACGGAGAACGACAGCTCACTAAAGCTAAAAACACCTGCAGAAGAGGAGAGGAGAGAATAGAATTAAAAACTGGCATTATTGCATCTAAATTCTGCTTTCTCAGACAATGCAACATTCTGGTCAAGCGAGCCTCTGAATAGATCTAATCTATTTAGTCACGGTCAACTGGGAGAGAAGAATCATCCTGCCATCGGTGCTTCTGCTGGACACTGATGCATTTGCCTTCTAATCTTCATGACTTTGGCTGTTTTTATACAATAAAAAGTGAAAATGGGCCATGTGTTGCTGTGTTAAGACGCTATTTATACCTGATCTGACCCTTGAAATGGATTCTGTTGTTGCATCTTAATGTAGTCAGGTTGATTCAGTCGTATTAATCATATTTTTTACAACTGGTTTGATTCATGACACCCACTTAAAATAAAATAAAATAAAAAAACTGGCTAAACCACTTAAAAAGTGTGTTTTTATTATTATTATGTTAAACTTTATTCAGGTACCTTCGCAAAAAATAAAATAAAATAAAAATAAAAATAATATTTGAATCATTCAGGGTGTAATAAAATAAATACTGGCTAAATCACTTAAAAAGTGTGTTTTTTATTATTATTATTTATTTTTTTTAATTAGGGGCCTTCTCAAAAATAAAAATACAATAAAAATACTAATAATATTTGAATCATTCAGGGTGTAATAAAATAAAAATACTGGCTAAACCACTTAAAAACTGTTATTATTATTATTATTATTATAAAAAAAAATTTATTCAGGTGCCCTCTCAAAAATAGAAATACAATAAAAATACTAATAATATTTGAATCATTCAGGGTGTAATAAAATTAAAATACTCGTTAAGCCACTTAAAAAGTGGTATTCATTCATTCATTCATTCAGATATAAAATATAAAAACACACACAAAAATATTTAATATTGCATATTTGACCTGATAAATATCGCAGCACAAAGCTTATTAAACTTTCTACACCACTCTCTCTATATATATATCGTTAAAAACAGTAATATTTACTTGTATCCAAACTCAAACACCATCGTGAATGCTCAGGTTCTGATAACATATTCCCTCAACAGTTCAATCCCCATCTAAATAATCTAACAATAACTTAAAACACTCTAATAATCCAATCTGGATGAAGTTGATCAACCTGGACACCTCCAGCCTTTACGCACGAGATTCCTCTCCAAATATACGTAGATATAACACGTCTTACCTGAAAAGGACAAAAGCCAGAGTATAATCAGCCCCTGCTGATGTGTTTTCCATCTCACGGACCCCATTTATCGACGATTCACGGTCATTCCGTGCGTAAAACCCGCGCGCGTCCGGAGCGCGTCGTGACTCTCCGGAGACCCGCTCTCTGACTGAAGCCGAAGCCCAAGCTCACGCTGCTCACGCTGCTGGCGTCACACGTCACTCAAGCCCCGCCCTCATTACATATTCACGTCTCATTACGCCTCCAGGATTGTGTAACACTCATGTCCACCTGTAATATCACCATAATATCAACAACACCCAAACAGCAGTAGCTGAATATAGAAATAACATGTGGGATCATTTAAAAGAAATGCACGAGTAAATACATAGTTACAAATAAAGAAAGAAAATAAATGAAATTCAAAAATAAATTCAAGGTAGCAAGTCATTTATTGCTTTATTTATTTTCCTACACATTTCTTTTATGTACGGTTAGCAAACTAACAAATTAATATATGCATGTGTGTGTGTGTGTGTGAAAACCCGCGCGCGTCCGGAGCGCGTCGTGACTCTCCGGAGACCCGCTCTCTGACTGAAGCCGAAGCCGAAGCTCACGCTGCTCACGCTGCTGGCGTCACACGTCACTCAAGCCCCGCCCTCATTACATATTCACGTCTCATTACGCCTCCAGGATTGTGTAACACTCATGTCCACCTGTAATATCACCATAATATCAGCAACACCCAAACAGCAGTAGCTGAATATAGAAATAACATGTGGGATCATTTAAAAGAAATGCACGAGTAAATACATAGTTACAAATAAAGAAAGAAAATAAATGAAATTCAAAAGTAAATTCAAGGTAGCAAGTCATTTATTGCTTTATTTATTTTCCTACACATTTCTTTTATGTACGGTTAGCAAACTAACAAATTAATATATGCATGTGTGTGTGTGTGTGTATGTTATATAGTACAAAATATATGCTAAACAAAGGATCCTCTTTTATTATTTTGCCATACATGTACTTTCTGAAAGTTAATAATATGTGTTGTTTAAAATGCATGCAGGCATATTCAGACGTATTGCTCGTGCGAGCAGCTGTACACCCTTCAGCCTCATCAGACCCCACAGAGCAATAACAGATCAGCTGCACTCGCTTTCTATGTGCATACATTATTATTATTATTATTATTATTATAATATCACAGGACAAGAGGGCCATGTATGTTCTCACTATTACTGAACTAGTATAGTGTTTATTATCTTTTTAATTTGAAAAAAGTTATTTTTTCATTTTCAATATAATTTTAGTTAATATTTCAGTTTTTTTTTTTGGTTAAACTGCATGAAAGCGTTACATGTTGCCTTGGTAACTAGCTGAAATAATGTTTAATTTTGATTTTTTTTTTTTAAATGACAAAAAAAAATTTAGTATTAATATTTTAAATGACTTATTAATATATTTTCCAAATTCATTATAATTGTAGTTTACACTTGAGTATTTTTATTTATTATTATTATTATATTTTTTACTTCATTTTTAGTTTGAGTTATTTTAGTACATTAATTTAATTGATTAAATGAAAATGTGAATGTTTCTTCGGCAACCAAATGAAATAAAATATGTTTTTCCAGTTAACATTTATGTTAAAAATTTAAATATTTTGAGTACGTTTTGATTTTTATATTTTCCATTTTTTAGTTATTTTATTTTAGTCATTTTTATCCTTTTTTAATATTTATATACAGTCTTCATTTAACCCAGTCTTCAAATGAGAAATGTTGCCTTGGCAGTTTTAATTTTCTTTTAAATATTTGATTTTATATCAGTTAATATTTATTTTGAAAACAACAGTTTATGGTTTTAGTTTGTTAACTGTAATAACTATATAATAATAATAACATATCCATGTTTTAATAGTGATTTCAATACATTTCACGAAAGGTCCTTTTAAATCTCTATGACCTGAAGAGAACATAAAGCTCAGCAGATGATGCACGTGTGTTTGTGTGCTGGATTTAATCAGTTATTGATCAGTGATTGATCACGCCTCCTCTCCTTCTCAGCACAATAACACAAGACATGCATGTGATGCTGGAATAGCATATTTGTACTATACAGCAGCTCCTGCTATGCAGTTTTCTGAGCCGGTCAGTCGCTCGACAGCAGGCTGTGGATCAATAGGGCTGAAGTCATTAGCATTGTGTGAATGTGTGTGGGGTCATGGGAAAGAGGCACGACACCGACCGCCCTGCTCTCATTGGTCAGAGCCACGGTGAACCCCCATCTCCACAACCTCTGACCTTTGACCTCTGGCTTGGGCACAATGACCTCTATCCCCTCCGAAAAGCACGAATATGATCGAATATGCAGAAGAGCATTTATTATCAGTGCCGTTTGATACGTCAGGGATCTGTGTTGTTAGCGATCTGAACAGAGTATTCAAATACTAACAGATACTAATTTAGTTTTATTAACAGTTTGAAGTAGTTACTATTTTTTATATTTTGTTTAAAGTTTAGTAATTTTGTGTTTGTTTGTCACTCACTTTCTAAAATGTCTAAATAGTTTTGATCCATTTTTACTTCTAAAACTACATTAATAATTAACTAAATTAAAAATGAGTAATGCTTCCGTAGCAGATAGCTTTTAGTTTGTTTTTTAAGTTTTGAGCTTGTTTATTGTATAAGGAGAAAATTACGTTTTATATTATCAATATTATATTACAGCAATACTGGGAAAGATCAAACCCTTAAAAACAGTAAAAATATAATTTATACATGACTTTTGAAACTTGTTTAAAAATAATATTTCCAAATTCCATATAAATAATTTATATCATTTTATTATTTTCCATATTAATATTTGAGGCCTACGTTTCAAGAAATAAATAAAACTTGCTTTAAAGTTCTGGATGCCGATAATATCAAGTTATTACTATTAATATATCATCAGTGCTTTGCTGAATCATATCATACATACAATAAAATTACATATTTTATGCAGTGTACGCAGGTTTTTGAGTAGCATATTAAATATATATGAAGGCATTGGTTAAGTCAACAATATTGAATTTAAACAAATAATAATAAACTTTATTTTATATTGCGCCTTTAAAAGCGCCTTCTCGATACATTTTACATAAAAAAACACAACATGAATAAATATCAATTTTAAACATGTATACACAACAAAAAGTAAACAACTAAATCAAAGTCATATAATATAAAAGCTAACTTTGTTTTAGAATTTAAAAATGCATGTGCGTGTCTGATATTTATATTTAAAATTTCATAGGTTTTATAGTGAAATTTTCTAGATTTATATTGTTGATTTGTTTCAGTTGGTGAGATCCCAGCATGCATTGCAGTCATGCATGATATGACCTCATGACCTTATGGCTGTTTTTGTGTGTGCTGCCGTGTCAATATGAACTAACAGAGGGCGCCGTTACGCTCGAACACACTCCAGACAACACAAGTGTTGTTTAAAAAAAATGTTTATTGGCTTTTAAAACCACTTAAAAAAATCTCACCTGTGAGTACTTTCCATTGGAAAAAAAACAAACAAAAAAGATTAACAAAACATCGCTGAAACGCTTCTGCAATATTAACAAGCTACTGTCCACATAGAGCAGATAAACCAGCACATCAGAGGCTCAAATCTACAGACAGAATGAACATGTTTTTCTACCAGACCGACCTGACGAACGACATCTGCGGCGTCGAACCCTGTGTATCAAAAGAGGACTGGAGTCTTACTGGTAAAATAAAAAACGGTAATTAATCAGTGCCTTAATAAACGCCAGAACATAAAAAATATTTACAACTTTCTTCACATAGGCATTTTTTTATTTCTATATATATATATATATATAAAAAGAAGAAAATTGAAGATATATTCAAAACGAAAAACAAGAACAACATTCATGAACAGAAAAAGACTTATTTTAACTTAGTAAACATCGTAAAATGCATATAGCTTCTGAAGAACTACGTTTGTCCCCTCGTCCTGTTTTGATTGGCTAAAGGAGTGGTCACAACAAATACTACCATAGATAGTTTAACATACATGCGCACATACAGTCATTTTATAACATGGTTAAAGCATGTTGGCTTTTTAAAATGTTTTTGTTTTTAAAACTCGTCGTTTTTAAATCTCGTATTTTCATATTTTCTTCTCAGGTACGAGAAGTCGTACAACGCGGATCTCACTGAGATTAGAGCTCATTGCTACACAAGGCAATTATTCATTGTCGTTTTCGAGCACGAGTGAGTAATTCCTCTATTTATTGTCTTTAGAAGAAAAACAACGCGGGCACCAATTATTGTTTGTCGACGGGGGAAAAAAAACTTAACTTTTAGTGCAATAAGATGAACGTTTTTCAAACCATTTCCAGTGTCTGCTCCTTTGATTCGTCTCTGCACACAATATTTAGCTATGTCACGATAAAATTAACTTTATATTTAAGTCTTATCTAATTAATTTTTTTCTTGATAAATCCATGCTATTATATCCTCTCTTCATTTACACATCACATCTGCGTACGCAGGAACCAATAAACTCCTAAGAAAAATGGTACATTAGCAAGCTACAGACCCAATATTTACTAGCACATCACAGGAAGCCAGAAACGTAACAAGCGAAATATCGTGCTGGCTATGGACTCGTTATGATCAGCTTTTTCTTCTTAAGGGCACTCGAATCTACCTACAGATCATCACCATTAGCATCTTGATAAAATGGAAATCTCATGATGACAACTATGTCCTTTTTACAAATGTCGCACTACTAGCCTAGAAATGCAGCCTTCGTGAACTTGTACAACATGCTCCCCATCTATGCATCCGCCATATACATAATTTACACAAATGTGAATTCACTTGCTGTGAAAGCGAGCTAAAACGGTCAAGATCCCTTTTAGATGACAGGCGATTGAAGATGGAAACCTCAACGGATCGCAATCTCTTGTTCTTCCTCAGTTGCTCTTTGGTATGGAGTTAAGGCTGGAGAAACTACACAGGTTTGCCTGTTGATCTCGAGTTGGTAAGAATATCTAGCCATCACCATACCATCATC